TTTGTTTTTAAACTACTTTTGATTTTAATCGAGACCTCTTGTTTTAGGTTGGGAGGATATCAGCTCTCACTCTAGAGCTCCTACTTCTCCCTCGCCTGAGGGTTAACAATCTCGCAATTAGTTTCCAATCAACTGGACCAAATTGGGGATTTTAATCTGTTACTTTAAAATCTCCAATTCTACATCTAACAAAGTATATTTCACTACTTTTTTGCACTCAACCCCATAGATTACATTCTCACCCAAGAAATTGATTGTGACTCTCACCATGTTGTAGAAATCATAGCCCTTTCGGATCATATATTTCTCAACACATTTTAACATTTCAATTGGCCAGATCAAAAAGTAAATGAAGATTAGAGTTTAAATCATCACAAATTATTAACATTTAAAACCGTATAAAATAAAATCAATTCTTCACAAAACCAAATCTCATTGTAGGGAGAAGGATTAAGAAGACTACTCAGAATTCATGAGAAGGATATGACAAAACACGGATTTCATATAAAAAATAAGTTTACAAAATAAAGAAAGAAAAAAACATAACTTATCTCATACTCCTTCCCAAACAAATCCCTAGAAGTTCCCTTTAAGCACTTTCCCGCTTTACAAGCACTCTTAATTGTATTTTAGAATTGTAATAAAGAAGAAATCTCTCACTTTCCCTCTCCTCTTATAACCCTAGAAAAAAATCTCAAAGTCCCTCACTCTCTGATATACCTAAAATATATATTATTTTTAGACACATTTTTATTCCTAGTTTTGAGATATTGTACTTTAATGGAAGGTATTTTTGTGTTTTTCTTTCAGGTACAAGTAAAAAGGTGAAAAATGCTAAGTGGAGTGAAAAAGGATCAAATTTGAAGCAAAAAATGCAAAAATGGTGCAGAAGAGTTTTGACGCCTAAGCGCCTGATCCGACGCTTAAGCGCCGGTGAAATAGAGAAGGTCGTGCCTAAGCGCCAAAGACAGTTATTTGACGGTTTAATTCATTTTATCAAATTTTGAAGGGACATTTGAGGCACCTATTGGCTAAAGAGGGTAATTATGACCATTATAAATGAAAATATGATTAAAAAACTCGTGAAAGGAGGCATCCTTTGGAGAATACATCGAATTTGGACACATTTTGAAGATTTACCAAGGAACCTCTTGGAAATTTATAAAAGAAGGAAGTTGAGACTTTTAGTGTGTGCTTGAAAAGGGGGAGTCCTGAGAGGTTCTTGAAGAAGTTCGTGGAGGAATGTTTAGAGAGATTTTCATGCACCACAAATTTATTTTATCATTTTTGTTTTTAATTTTATTGTGAGAGTTTAGAGTGTTGTAAAAGAGAAGAGACTCAAAGGAACTTCAACAGTTTGGTGGAGGATTTGAGATAAGTTTTTATCTTTGTTTTTAAACTACTTTTGATTTTAATCGAGACCTCTTGTTTGTTTAACAATTATTTCTACTTTTAAACTAAAGTGTGGATTTGATTTGTCCATGGATTTTGAGTAGTTTTCTTTATCTTTCACCTTGAAATGATAAGTAATTAAAGTGTTGGATGGAAGTTGTGGAGAGTATTAATCTTTAATATTAGAAGAAATTGTGATGATTTAATTCCATACACTTCATTTACTTCTTGATCTGACTTATCTAGATGATAAAATTTGTTGTGAGAACTTGTAAGAACCAGGCTAGTATTGTCTTAGTCAACAATAGAAAAGAATCGCATGAGATTGTATGAATGAGAATGTAATTTATATGATTAAGTGCAAATAAACAGGAAACTGATCTTTGAAGGGTGTACTTTAAAGTGACAAGTTAAAGCCCCCAACTTGGTTTATTGTTTTAGGTTCTGATGCGAGATCTTAGCCCTCAGGTGGAGGGAGTCGAGGGAACTCTAGAGTTAGAACTGGTATCTTCCCTGCCTAGCCTGTCTTCAAAACTATTCAAACTTTAAATTAATCAATATTCTTTATAACATCTCAAGTAAGGATAAAGAATAACATTGCTCCTATTTTGCACAACACAAATTGCATACTTCCACAACAGAATTCCTATACTTATTACTGATTCATGATAAGGAGAAATATACATTCATATTAAGTGCTTTTCTTTTACATAAACTCAAGTTATCTTTAGTAGTTTTTATTTTTTTGTCAAAATATCAAAAATACAAAAAAGATTTGAATTTTAATTACTGTAAAAACATCTATAATTTAAGTAATTATCTTTTTTAAAATAGAAAGTTTGTTGTTTAATATTACATATTGTGAAATTCCCGTGGGTTCGATATTCAAGTCTTAATAAAAAATTCCTATATTACTTGATAATAATATATATACTTGCGCAGTATCCCAATATATATATAAATTAAAAAGTTAAATTCTTATTTTCTTCAGGATCAAGTTTTTGGTACTGTTACAAAGTAAGGAAATATAAGTGAAAAATATAATCAAAGACATTGTTATATTGTTGCATATAAACAGTCGGGATCAAGTTTTTGACGTCGTTGTCGGGGAATTCATTGCAAGAAAATTTCTATTTTAGAGAGTCTTATTTAAACTTTAAGAGTTATTATAGGAATATATTATTATAACATTTTATTTTTGTGTATTTTATTTTATGTTAGTATATGCGTAGTTTAGGTTTTGAAGGACTAGTGCTCTACGACCCTGAATTAGAAAGAAGTGTTAAGAAAATCAAAAGAAAGAAAAAAAATTAAATTTTTTGAAAAATCTAAAAAATTACAGAAATGACAAACCAAAATGCTGAAATTCATCAAGAATTTAGGCAACAGAAATGACAAAACAAAATGCTGAAATTCATCAAGAATTTACGCATTTACGAGATTATGTTGTCAACTCTACGGTAGATGAACTTCATTGTAGTATTCAAAAATCTAATGTAGTGGCTAATTCATTTGAACTTAAACATGATATTATCCAAATGATATTAAATAATCAGTTTGGGGGATCACCAATTGAAGATCCATATTTACATCTTGGCAATTTTTTAAAATTTTGCGCTACATTTAAATATGATGATGTATCAGATAATGTCATAAGACTTAGGTTATTTTCTTTCTCACTGAGGGATAAATCTAAGATGTGGTTGAATTTGTTAGCACATGAATCTATCAGAACTTGGAGTGATTTAGCATAGAAATTCCTGGCTAAATATTTTCCACCATAAAAAATTGCGAAGCTTAGAAATGATATTACATCTTTTAATCAGTTTGAAGGGAAATCTATTTATGAAGCATGAGAATGATTTAAAGAACTCTTAAGAAATGAAATGGGCTGAAGTAATGAGATTTAACGAAGGAAACAAACTGTGCACTTAGGCGCTGCATCGGCTCAAAAGCACCCATTCCTTAGTTTATGACATTTTCTTATTGGGTGGAGAGGCGGGCTCAAGCGCCCCACAGGCCAAAGCAATGCCTCAATGGCTGCCTGGGAAGAAGAGTGCGCCTTCAATATGAGTGCTTTAGTGCCCATAGGAGCATTTAGTCAACTTGATGCTTGGGCGCAAGCTTTCAAAGGAGGGCTTGCCTTCTTCCATACGCTCTCACAAATGTGCGTAACTTCATGCATGTGGCTTTTTTTTTTCGGATCCCCAAATTATTGGAAACCATCCAAGAGTGAAAATAGGATTTTTAAAGTTGGTGTGAACACCAAAAATGGGTCACATTGAGTAGAAATCGCCGCCTTGTTTACTCAAAATTTTTTCTTATTATTTCATTTCACAAAAAAAATTGCAATAGTTACTTATTTCATTTTGCATTAACTTAAATTATCATTTCACAAAAATTCTAACAAGATTATGACGTCGTTCCTAACTGAAAACTATTAATCGGGTCATCGTAGACTTTACAGGTGAAAGAGTGACACCAAAAATTTAGGAGAATTGACTCTAAGCACGAGAGAGAGAGAGATAGAGAGAGAGAGAGAGAGAGAGAGAGAGAGAGAGAGAGCATTATACACAATTAGAGTTGAATCATAAAATTTATTTTAGACTTTTAATGATTAACAAGTTTGGTACTTTTTACTTATATTCATTAAATAAAATATTTTTTCAATCTTGCTTACATATTCCTCAGCTAACAAATATACTCTCTCAACAGAGTCAAAAAATTCTCGTGCAATTTCTATAAACTACAAGATATTTATAAATAATTATAAATATTCTTTTAAAATTGCACTAAAATTACAACACAAGTTTTTGCCCTAAAAAAATAATTTATACGTAATTACAATCTTATCATGCATTTATAACTTTTCTCTTAAAAAGTAATTATTTAAGATTTATTAATTAATTTTTTATTCAAGAGTAAAACTTTCTTTCCATATGAAGAAAAATCCTCACACGCCCATGTCGCTTCACTATCACAACGCGTACGCGCAATCCCCAGCGTTACCTCCGCGTCTTTTCGTTGCAGCGAAACCTCTCATTTATAACCCTGCCGACACTCATCGCCAACCCAGTCCCAGCTCGATCATGGCTTCTGAGAAAACATTTTAGAGGATAGACTCGGCGATTACAAGCGGGGCGGAGCTCCATCTCTTACCCCTCAACGAATGCCAGTGCTGACGCCGTTATCCACTAGCTAAAGAACATGGAGTTTGACAGCTCTGCGACAGCTTCTGCGAGTTCTAGGGGAAGCACTGAGGAGGATTTCCCCAGTCCACGGAGTTCATTTCTCTGTTCTGTTGATGGGGAGCTACTGGTGGATCCCGTTTCCGTATCATGCGGTCACAGCTTTGAGAGAAAGGCTGTGGAGGAGCATCTCAGGCTGGGAAACTACTGGTGCCCTGAGTGCAGCAAAGAGCTTTCGCCCACGGAGAAACTCACTCCGAACGTATCGCTGCGATTCTATATCTTAGAGAAGAAGCAGAGAGACGCGGTTAAGAAGCTGAGGCTTGCGGATTCCTTGCTTTCCTCGACGGATTTGGAATGTGTGAACCGTGCCCTAGAGGACCTAAAGGATGCGATGATGGAAATCCCTAGCTGTATCGCTAAGGCAAAAGAAGATAAGGTTCTTCGTTACCTCGCATTGCTCCTGAAGAAAAGCTTAGGAGACACTAGAGCGGTGCTCAGTTGTCTCCTTCTAATAGCACGGTTTTCCGATGAGAGCAAGGTAACTTAATCTTTCATTCTCATTTGTTGCTTTTGGAGATCGACAGCGAGAGTGATGAAATTATGCAGGAAACGATGGGAACGACGGGGGTGATTAGGTGCCTTACGAAGCTTCTCCGCGGCGCTGAGCCTGAGATTTATGCATTAGAAATCTTGCTGGAGCTCTCCAAGAAGGACACCATTGCCGATAAGATTGGAAATGATCCGAACTCCATCCCCACCTTAGTCTCCCTGCTCAACTATCCGACTGCTGAGATAGCGGAGATGGCGCGCGGTGTCCTGGAGAACCTTTACAGAGTCCAATTCGCCATTATGATGGGCAAATGCGGATACTTAAGTCCATTCCTCGAACATTTTTGCCAAGGTGAGATACTTCAAAGCTTCTGAAAACATATGCTGTGGATGCTTCGCCGGCGAGTAAGAAGGCGAACTCATTTCTGCTGGTTTGTAGAAGCAGAGAACTCTGTGGAAACGAGAGCTTCGATGGCTGATGAATTGGCTCGGATGAAATTAACAGAAACTGCTGCGAGGAGCTTGGGAAACGACCAGTTTGTTACCTCTCTAACTGAGTTGCTCAACTCTGGATCGGTTTCTAGCAGATCGTCTTCTCTCCAGTGCATCAAGCAGCTCATGGCTTTTAGAGAGTTCCAGTCCCGCTTCCTGTCGAATGAATTCGCCATCCCAGCTTTAATAGGCCTAATTACCGTAGCTCCGGATCAGCTATTGATGCAAGAAGTAGTAGAGATCATCGTTGCACTTATTCAAATAAGCCAGCATAAGGATCATCAGAACAATCCAGGATTGCAGGTTCTCTACTCTAGCAACACTATCAAATCCTTTCTTTTGCAGATTGAAACCTCTGGTTATCAAGGCCAAATTTCCTTACTGAAACTGCTCCAGATAATTGTTCAGAAATCTGATACAGCACGACAATGGATAAAATCCAAACTTGGCTCAATGAACTTTCTCTTCTCCGCCCTTAAACTCGATCAAAACGACGGTGTAAGACTGCAAGTACTGAAATTGATATACTACATTGCTGGAACCGATATCAATGACATGATTTTTCTTCCACCATCTCCCGCAAAGGATTCTTTTGTGAATTATCTTATAGCTATACTCACCCATAGTTCTGTGGAAGAAGAAAGGTCTGCCGCTGCTGGCATTATTGGGTATCTTCTAATCAGCGACCATAGCATAGGTGAGATGCTTCAAAATACATCTTTTCTGAAAGCTATAAATGACATCTTCTCCCATAGCATCAAGTCCAATGAATTATTAGAAAATTCCCTCACAGCACTGCATAGGTACATTGTGATCTCTAATTCTGTAACTGGTAGGCAACTCAACAAGCTGCATCAACTTCTCGTTCAAATGCTCTCAAATGGCGCCAGCACTCTTGCTAAGCAGCACGCCGCCATCACTATTTCCTATCTGGCTCGTTGCAGCAGGATTCCCTCAACACCAGTGAATAGCTCATCTTCATTTGCACAGTTAAGACAGAGAATCCCAAATTTGATACAGTCGAGTAAAAGAACTCTTTGCTCGGTACATTTGTCTAGCTCTTTGCAGAATCCCTTTTGTCTCATCAAAGCTGGAGCAGTGAAGCCATTGATAGAGATGGTGAGAACTATGGAGCCTGGAGCTTCTGCGGCAGCTTTGATGGCGCTTAACACTTTGTGTACTCAATGCGACTCTACTGCTGCTGCGAATGCCATTGTGGAGAGCCAAGGTGCAGTGGCAATTATTGAGGCCTTGGAAAGGGGATCAATGTCTGTCAAGGAGGCTGCACTTGAACTCCTTGAAAAGGTCTGCGAATATCCTAGAATCAAAGCTGATGGGTTAGATGATAAGTTTGAAAAAGTGCTGGTATACCTACTCAGCCAGGAAAACAGGATCAAGTTTAAGGCAGCTTCCGTGCGTGCAAAATTGGTTAGTATCCCAGATGAAACTTGATTTCATCTATTGAGCCATCATTAGGACCAACTTTTATTTTTTTGTTGCTAATACTAGATTCTAAACTGGAAAATATGGATATAAGTGGAAAAAGTTTCCTTCTTGATTAGATTGTTGTTAGATGATATAGGCTTGATATGAGTTGATGTACTATATATAAGTTTAGGAAGGCATTCAATGCTTCTATATGAATTAATTTATTTATGTAATTAAAATTATATAACTAGTTTAAGTTGATGCAACTTTTGGTGATTTCATGGATGCTTCAATATTAAAATGTCTATTAGAGACTTTACTTTTTTTTTTAATGATGATTAGTGCACCAGATCTTCTTTATTTTCATGGATTTGAGGTTGAAAGCATTAATTCATGCATTTAGACAACTATTCTGCATTTGTCAATTAATAATATAATGGCTTTATGCTCTATTTTTTTCTCGATGCATTTAGAAGTTGAGCCATATTTTTAGAGCAAAGATATGTTGAAGTGAAAGTTATATGAATAAACAATAAAAATATGTATAAGATGAACAAATCAGTGAAGGACATTTGATATTTTTATTACAAATTTGAAAATTGTTTGTAAAATTTGTAAGATTTGAAGTTAGTAAAAATCATACAATTTTTAGAGCAGGTGTCATGAAGCATAACACTATGGCAGTTTTGATGTACCTCTGACTAGCCTAGGGTCTATTTGGAGTGGCTCTATCTTTTAAGAAAAGGTAATACAAACCTCTGATGGGGAAATCAATTTCTTAGAAAATTATAGTGAGACTTATAAATATATATATTTTTTCTAAAAAAAAAAAAAAATCAGACAGTAGTTTTTTTATAACCACCACATTTTAACAAGTCAGATTAAAAAAATTTCTCACCATAAAAATTTCTAGAAAACAATAAAAAATCAATTCCTCAAACATAAATGTGATGACGGTCTGAAATGCAAAACAAATAGAAAGCTATCACAAATAAAACCTTAGTCATAACTTATTAGACATATAGTCGAGGAGGGACTATTAAATTTGATTCTAAGTTAAACTTAAGTTGATAATATCATAAATAAATAAATTGGGATTATGATACTGCTTTCATCTATAAAAGGGCTTAACGAAGTTATGAGCAAGTCATCACATATATAAGAGCGTCTTCAAAAGCCTTTTAGAAATTTATTATTATATTTGATCATATTAAATAGGAAAAGTTCATGAAAATTATCAATCTCTTGCTTGGAACTCCATCTCAAGTATGTGTATTTATTTTTATATGTTTACCTACACAGCTTCAAAAATATATGTAGTTGTTGCTAAAAAACATGATCAAATTGAGATAGTTGGTAGGCTTGGTAAATAAAATAATTTTTATATCTGATAAACATAATAGTTTCGCTAATGATCTTCAATTTGTTTATCTGAACATTTTTAATATTGCACTCATTGTATTGTTATTTCATGACAAAATATAAATGCAAAACTCAAACTGACCCTTAATTGAACCAGACTAGACCAAAAACTGTTGAAGCCCTCTCTATCTTATGAAGCCCAAACTCTTTAACCACCCAAGCCCTCACCTTCTCCCTTGCATGAGTTGCTTGATGCTGCCTTTCCTCCAGTCAACTTGTGAATCATGTGATTTCTATCTCTCTTTTGATGCCCTAATTTAAGAAGACTGAAGGCTTGGGCATCTTTTATTCCTATTTGTTTCACACTTTGTAACTATCAAGCTACCATTGATTGACCCTTGGCCTCCCTTCAATTGAAAGCCTTCAACAAGGAACCCTCTGGTGTGATTTATTTTTTTTGGGTGCAGGGTTGATATCTACCATAAATTTCGGAATCGATGAATAATATATTACCCTGAAGGATAAAATTATTATCTTAAAATGAATCTAATCACTCAGATGAAAAAACCTTCAAGATATATGAGTTTGTAGAACCAGAATTTTTCTGATCTTATGGGGGTAAGATCGAGTTCATTTTATTATGGGATATGGTATCCCTATGAGGGAAAACACTCGTAGCTAATTACATATCAGTTGTGGCTTCCGAGAATACTTTCAATTAAAGTGTTGGCTTATATCGTGCATGATTATTTAGTGAGTGTTTACAAAATTGATTTTTAGGACCCACCCAAATTTGATAGACTTGGGATTTTGAAAAGATATGTGGAATTGATACCAACAGTCCTATGAGGAAAGACTTATGAAAATGGTAAGCTAACTTTAGGAACAAAGCACACCAAGGGGATTGGGATTTGATGAGTTTGGTGTGAAGAGGTTTTTTTTGGTTGACTGATTTCATTTGGGTTAATTGATTAAATTTGCGTTAATTGTTTTGAAAAGAGTTTTACATGGATGATTTACTTGGGCTAAAAACTTGAGTTGGATGGACTTAGTTTCATTTGAAGGTTTTTTTTTTTTAAAGTTGATTTAATTGGATTGGAGAGGGTTTATCTTAGGTTTACTTGAAATGTATTTGAAGGTTTGTTTGAAATTTATTGAAGTTTTAAATTTATTTGAAGATACTTTAAAAAATGTTAGAAGATTGTTTAGAATTATTTGGGGGTTATTAAGTTTCATGTGAGGATTATTGAATTTTTTAAATTTGTTTTGAGGTTGCTTAGTTTGTTTCCAAAGGATATTGAGCCTGCTTAAAATTATTAAAAATTAGATGCATTTTTCTATTTTGTCTATTTTCCAAACAATTTGTTGTCCAAATCATGCCAAATTTGTTATATTTTTGTATTTTGGAAACTTTTGCCGTGTAACTTTTAATATGTTATTATCTCAGTTATTATGCACATTTTAGCTCAAGTAAATTAAATTTTAACTTGATATTTCTTTTATTTGAGGCAAAATCCTAATTTGAGTTATATACAATTTTATAAAAACGTAATTAAAATTATGTATATTATGAATTACAGACACAATGATGACTATATATATGCTTATGTAATTTCTATTTTGATTGTTTCTTATAGTCTATCCTATTATTTCATACTGTGGATTTCCTTATTTTATTTTACATGCATGTTTTACATATAAAATGTCACGCTGAGTATGTTATAACTACTTAAATGTGTTATGTTATTATGTAATTTATGTACACAAGAAAGTCTGGTTACTATGATTCAAGTTGACAGAGATATGATACACTGTGTTGGAGAGTGGGCCGATGAACTTTCCTTTAAATGGGTTTGCAGTGTAAATCTGATATATGCTGGGAGTTATCAGGGGTGAATATGATATGATATGAGGGTCGATAAACTTGGGATGACGACTCCCGTGTTTTGTGCCACCTAACTAATTGTTCTGACAATTTTTACTGATATGATATAATATGATATTGTATCTGTTTTACTATGATTGATGCTGCGAAAACACCACATATGATTAGTCATTTTACCTAACTTGCATAATACAATTGTGATGATGATATTGCTTGATGATATGAATTATATACACTGTTGTTATTTTGATTTGATGTCATATCATGATTATATGTTTTACAATATATATATATATATATATATGTTTAGTGACTTACATATTTACCTGTTTAACATACATGACATGATTATGATGCAATCACACATTTTATTCTATTTATATGCATTGATTTTAATTGTAGATTTCGTATAGTCTATTGAGATGTTCGCTCACTCTTGTTTCTTTTACATGTTTTCAAGGAAGGGTAAGGATCTAGTGGTGTGAGCTGATAGTACTTATTGATAGAGACATATTTTGGAGATGTTTTTTGTGATTATGATAAATATGTATGTTTTGTTGAGATTATTAGAAAATTATAATTAATGTATATAAATATTTTGAACATAAATAACTTTGATGTATAGAAGGAAAATGTGATAATGAGGATTTTTAGCTTTATTTTTATATTATTATTGTTGACTTAGTGACTTTGTGTAATAAAAATTAGAAAAAAAAAAAAAAACCTTTTAAGTAGATATTGGGCTAGATATCTCTTCCACACCGGACTTAATATAATCTATTACAGTACATAAGATATCCCGTTGGGGCGTGCCATATATTGACGAACCTACCTCTCAACCCCTCAAAATGCTTGAAAATTTTCTTTTCATCTGTCTGCACATTATCAGTTGATCATCATACTCAATCTTAAGGAATGAATGGGGAGGTTGCTCTGGTTCTTTTCAATAATGGCTCAATTGTAGGAGGAGGTGTTTATTTGAACCTACTATCTCTAACTATCTAAGACAGGTCCATGAACACATATTCCTCCATACCTGGTATTCGTTCCACTTCTACAATTTTGGATTCCTTAGCAATCTTAGCGTACATCTTCTTTGTCCTTTTATTCTTATTTCTCCTCTGTGCCTTAGTCAAAATAGGCCTAGTAATGCTGGACTTGAGCCAAGGCTTAATGGGTGCTCCATTAGGCTCAACATAAGCTAGGGGAACTTCTGCTCCCCTGATCGGGAACTCAATCATTGGTTTTCCTTTTTCTTACCTCCTCTGGCTCAAGCACTGTTACAATTGCGTTGTTGCAAAGCATGTCCATAGCTTCAAATCTTATGCCAAACTTGATAATAGGGTTGTTTGTTAAGTGGTTTTGGTCAATTGCTAGCTTGATACTATTTTTGAAAGTGAAGATGAGCTTTCCGACAAACATTTTTCTGCAATAAAAATGAAGAGTTAAATATCATCCATAGCTCAATCACAACTTTAAGATTTAAAATTTTAATCCTCAATTAAATTTTAATTTGATCGATAAACTTAATTGGTTGATTTTACAAGTTAAAGTTTGAGGATTCCTAATTAAGGCGAAAGAGTGCTGAGTTTTGAAATATATAAATTTGAATGAATTCAATGAAATTTGAGTGAGTGATCCCGACTTTCTATATAGAAGTAAAATAAGATGTATGTGATTATAACTTAATTTCCTTAATAGTTATTCTTAATTTGCAACAAAGCCAAAAATTTGATTCAAAACAAAAGCTAGGTAAGTTTTCTACTATGAAACAAATAAGAATGTAATTATAATATTTAAAATATGGGATATTACGCAGGTATACGTATTGTTATCAAGTAATATAAGCTTTTTTTATTAAGTCCCAAATATCGATCTCACTATGT